TTGGTTACAACCATGCCACCCATTACCGACACAACAACAACCACCACCACCATGATCATCAACACAACAATAATTGGTCACTACCGCCTCCAGAGCCACTATCACATCATCAACATGAGCACCACCGCCTCCATGCTTTGTCATTCACTATAGTCTTTTTAAATCCTCAGAAACCCTCGTTTACACAACTAACCATATGGAGGCTAGTTCTTTAATGAAAATGGCGCTAAAATTAGTTGTTTTGTTTGTGGTTTTAATGATTGTTGGAGCTGAAGACCCTTACTAATTCTTTACATGGAATGTTTCTTATGGTGACATTTATCCTCTTGGAGTTTGCCAACAGGTAGGTTTGTTTGTTTTGAAGTTGTTTAGCTGCGCAAAATTCAATGCTTATGATCTATTTGTTTAGGGCATTTTGATCAATGGGCAATTTCCTGGACCTGAATTCACTCTGTTACAAATGATAATCTCATTATCAACATCTTCAACAGTTTGGATGAATAGCAGATCGCTACGTTGTTGTGAACGGCGAACCATTCAAACACGGCCCAAATCAGTAGCTTCAATTCTCCACGCTGACGTCGGCAATGACGCATTTCTTTCATCGCCTTTGTAGTGGTTGAATGCGTCGTCGAGAAGAGAAAAGGAAGAGACAGGAATCGGGTTTCAAGATTGGGTAAAATGAGTAGGGTTTTTAATTGAATTGTGGGAATTACTAATACCTGATATTTGCATAAATATACTTTACCCCTGAACTTTGAATCTGAAAGTTTAAGTACCTGATTTTATGTAATTTTCACTTAGGAAATTACACTAGACCTTGTTTTTTAAGATCGCAATTCAAAAAATAAGTGTAAAGTTTATTTAATAAAAAAATCAGTAATATTCAATTAATAATATTATTATAAAATTAAATTAATTATATTCCCCATTCTACACCTTCCAACCTCATCAAATTTCTCAAACCCTAATCACTTTCCTATTCCATTCTCTCTCTATATCACTTTACACTCTCTATAATCTCTCACTTTATCACACCACCACAACAGTCCGACGGCGACGCTAACCACGACCTTCGACGGCAACATCTCCATTACTCTGTCGCAACTGCAATACCACCACACACCACATAGGAGGCATCAAATAAACTAGCACACACCACTACTGAATAAACCACCAAAGTGGTGCTCAACCACTCACGACACTGTCGGTGCTACGCTGCAGCGATCGCTTACGACACCTCGCCATGGATGGCACTCTGAGATCAACATTGCTACAGCCGGTGGTGAACTACCTCCACTCCCAACATGTGCTTTTCTAATGATTTGGTTGAGCATCAACGAAGTTTATGGTTTTGTATGTAGTTTGTGAGTTGTGATTTGAGGTGACGATGGTGATGCCAACCACAGATTTGGAGATTTTTTGTGGGAATTCGAGGTGGTGGCGATAGTAGTGGTTTTGTTGGATCTGATAGTGGCTGTGATTTTTGTTGGTGGCGACAGCGATGGTGTTGAATCTAACGGTTGGGTTGGTTTTTGTTGAATCTAGTGATGGATCTGATAATGGTGGTCTGACAGTGGCAATGGTGAATTGTAGTTAAAAATGGTGATTTGTTGGTGGTTGTGGTGGAGAGATAGTGGTGATTTTGAAGTTGAAAATGAAATTTGTTTGAGATGGTGATGGTGGTGGTAAGGTGGCGTTACCGTTGCACCCATTTCACCGTCGAAAGTAAAATGGAGTAAAATGGCTAGTGGTGGTGGTGGGTTGTTGAGTCTGTGTATGTGTTGCTGGTGGTAGGATAGTGTTGGTAATGGTGGCGCTATTAGGCTACGATGGTGGTGATGGTCCTAAGTGGCCGTGGTGAAATCAGTATGTGACCAACTATTTGGTGCATGTGACCAATTATTCAATGATTTTGACCAACTATTTAATTGTAACCT